CTTTGGATTTGACTCAGGGCTTCACTTCTTCAGGATCCGTTTTTTTTTGCTTAGGGTTTCGATCCTTTAGGTTTTCTTTTGCTTCTTTAGGATGTCTTTGGGTTGGACTTAGGCCTTCATGTGAGGGCTCCTTTGGGATGTCTTGGGTTTCACTTAGGGCTTCACTTCTTTAGGGTCTCTGGTTGGTTGGGCTTAGCTCTTTAGGATGTCTTTCGGTTTCACTGAGGGCTTCAGTTCTTTAGGATGTCTGTGGGTTTGACTCAAGGCTTCACTTCTTTAGGGTTTGGTTTGGTTTTGCTTAGGGTTTCGCTCCTGTAGGGCCACGGTTTCTTTTGGCTTGGCTTAGGGCCTTGCTTCTTTACGATGCCTGTGGGTTAGACTTAGGCCTTCACCACCACCCCCTCAAAAAAAGAACGCTTCTCAGAAACCAGTCCCCAGAAACCACTTCCCAGAAACCAGTCACCAGAAACCAGTATCCAGAAACCACTTCCCAGAAACCACTTCCCACAAACCACTTCCCAAAAACCACTGCCCAGAAACCACTTCCCAGAAACCACACCACTTCCCAGAAACCACTTCCGAGAAACCAGCCCCCAGAAACCACTTCCCAGAAACCAGCCCCCAGAAACCAGTCCCCAGAAACCACTTCCCAGAAACCACTTCCCGGAAACCACTTCCCGGAAACCACTTCCCAGAAACCACTTCCCAGAAACCACTTGCCAGAAACCACTTGCCAGAAACCACTTCCCAGAAACCAGTCCCCAGAAACCACTTCCCAGAAACCACTTCCCGGAAACCACTTCCCGGAAACCACTTCCCAGAAACCACTTCCCAGAAACCACACCACTTCCCAGAAACCACTTCCCAGAAACCAGCCCCCAGAAACCATTCCCCAGAAACCACTTCCCAGAAACCACTTGCCAGAAACCACTTGCCAGAAACCACTTCCCAGAAACCACTGCCCAGAAACCACTTCCCAGAAACCAGCCCCCAAAAAACACTTCCCAGAAACCACTTCCCAGAAACCAGCCTTCCCAGAAACCAGCCCCCAGAAACCACTTCCCAGAAACCACTTCCCAGAAACCATTTCCCAGAAACCAGCGTCCAGAAACCACTTCCCAGAAACCACTTCCCAGAAACCAGCCCCCAGAAACCACTTCCCAGAAACCACTTCCCAGAAACCACACCACTTCCCAGAAACCACTTCCCAGAAACCACTTCCCAGAAACCGCTTCCCAGAAACCACTTCCTAGCCTCGGGAGACCATTTCATCCGCGTTCCGAAACAAGGCGAATCCAGGGTCCGAAACGAGACGAATCCAGGTTCCGAAACGAGACGAATCCAGGTTCCGAAACGAGGCGTCGGCCACAGGAGGGCGGCACGAGATGCCTTTTTTGCAGTATCTACTAGTATCTCTTGTTTGATCATCTTGTCCCGAAAAACCGGGCACCCGGCACACGGTTTTTGTCACCGCGGGAGATCCACACCAAGACACCACGCGAGTCTCCAGGCCGAGTCGAAACGAACGATCCCCGCCTGTCTGGCTGTCGACCTTCTTGGAACCTCGGACCTCCTGGAGCCGGAAAAGGATCAGTTCAGAGACCGACGGCTTGACCTTTCATCTTACTTCCACTGCCAAAAATGCCTGGCTATCTAAAGACTAGTTGGATGCTTCAAGGCCAAACAAGGTCAATATGCAAAATCCTATGGCATGCTGCATGTCTCGCTTCAACTTCCAAGCCGTCCTGCATTGCTTTCTCCAACTGGGTCAAGCTGTACCCCGCACTGGTCAGCACTTCCTCCCCGAGGTTCGGAAGGCCGATAGATCGGTGGGAACAACGCCGTGACAATCCAAAGAAGTGGACATGATTTGTCAAAACATGAAAAGACATTTACTAGTAGCTTCTTGCTACTAGTAGTAATGCCAGGAGTCACTAGTAGCTTTTTGTTACTGGTAGCGATGCCCTTGTTACTAGCAGCTTCTTGCTACTAGTAGTAACGCCCTTGTTACTAGTAGCATTATTTGTCAATTCACTTCTTTGTCCAACGGGGGGCGATCTCTTAAACGTGGACTACTGTGTTGAGTCTGGTAACAAATCTGGTGTTGATGTGTTAGATGACACCGTTTGGGCATGGCGTAATTTCTGGACACATATCTTTTGTCCAGATGAGATTAAGCAAGGGCAACTGCGGATTACCTGGTAGCATAGTCATTGTGTAAAAGTATGTCTGATCTATTGCACAAATATCATGTCATTTTTTGAGGGGGTCTATCTCACTTCCTGCCTGATGTCGCAAAAGTTCTGACTATAAGCACAGCTCATTCCAGATGACCGCCTTAGAACCCCCAAGTCACCTCTTAGGGGCCGAAGCGACCTCACACCTCCAAAGGTGCCTTTAAAGAGCAAGGCACCAAGGCATGTTGGGTCGCTCCAGAGTGGTCAACTTCCTCTACATGCAACTCCAAACCACAAGTCCCATCAAAAATGTCCTTGATGGTCTTCTGCTTCATCAGTGCTAAGAAGAGGTCCGTCAAACTCAAGTAGCCTCAAAACAAGACTCGAGTGCGCTAGAGTCGGGCCCCTCAGTCGGTGCCACCAGCAGTTTTGACTTCCACCTGCAGCCGATTTGTTGGAAGTTGTAGAAAAAAGTGTGTTGTTGTGTTGGTTGGGGATGGCTTTCATGCAGGCCACATGCTAACTAAGGTCTAGTATGGTCCACTTCTAACCACGAGTGGTCAAGCCAAAGCGGTGCAGGTGGTTAAAAAATACGTCAATTTCAATCACCCGCATGGCTAGGGGTCAAAACCTGGGACCCAGAACGACGGACTACTTGCTAAGCTGTAATTACTCACTTCGCAGGTTTCGTTTGCAGCTGAGTGTCTATCCCCACTTTGCTTCCGGAGCTTCTCGGCCTCGTTCAGCACCGTGCGCATGGCGTTGTTCGGCGGCAAATCCTCCGTGGAGCTTCGACGGCACCGCTAGTTCAGGTCCACAGAAACGAATTGAGGCATCTTCGCCTTCCTTTGGGATGAGAAGTTCGTGATCAGAATGAGAGTAAGGCAAGGAAAGGTCGATCAGAATATATCAGAATGAATGATAATGTTGATTAATGTAGTATGCTCATTAATTAGAGTTCGTGATCAGAATGATACTTATTATTTTCTCAGATTCTCCTTGACCATCCTGTTACTTTTTCGAGAAGTCTCCTAGCCTAGGAGTGCACTTGAGGCAAGCCTGAGAAGCGTCCTCAGTCAACCCCGTCGGCTGTCAACCATAGGCAGTTCTGTTCAACAATGGCAAGTTGTGGCCCTTACGTTCGCCCTCGCGTTTGCTCCCCGTTCGTTCCACAGGGATTGCCAGCCTCGGGCGCCGGGGATTGCGAGCTGAAGCCCCCGAGGAGGCGATCGCAGCCCTTGACCAACTCCAGGCTGTCGCCGTTGAGTCGTCCCAGCACCTCCAAAACGACCGTCGGAAAGGTCATGAGTCATGATGCAAAGCTGAACACAAGGTGTAGAAAAAAGGGTTCCTGCGCAGCGCATCTCGCTCCAAAGATTGTTTATACTGCCAAACAATCATGGAATTGAATTCATCCACATGTTTTGACAACATGTCTAGTATTACTGTAAGTTTAAAGTATATAAGGTATATTATTAAATATTGCGAAGCGATGGCCGAGGGGAAGGAAACACAGAACATCTCTTGAATTTCTTGTGTGGACCCTCGTAGATGATTGTTTTACACTAAGTTCCTGGTTCTTGCCTCTAGTCTTCCTCGCAAAAACACACCCACATGTCCCTTGCCACTTGGTCACCCCTCGAGCCTGTGCGGGCAAAGAGCTTTTGTCCTGGTAGCAAATGTGAAGCCAATCAAGGCAAACTGTACAGAGAACACTTCTGGTCTGGCACTCTGGCATTCATGAAACATCCAGGATAATCCAAGCTTCCACATCAAGGCATCTGATCTTGTAGGGAATCAAACCCGCCAAGAAAAAAACAAAGGGACAACAGGATAACAAAAATTGGGAAATGTCTGTCTAGGGAGATGGTTGGATTACCACCAAACCGACCGGCAAACCCACCGCAGGTCCGAACCCCGTCCTTCACGAGGACGGTGAAGATGTGCGCCGGGTCCAGCTGGAGATGGCCTTTCTCCTGGAGTCCCAAGTCGGTCCACCTAGACAGCCAGCTGCCAATCAAAAGTTCGAGGTTGCAGGTTCCAGCACAATTCGCCACCTTCCTGCAGTTATCGCCCAAATCAGCGAATCAGGCAAACATAAGAGAAACCAACAGGTTGAACTCAATGTAAGCATGAGATCAAAGACCAAAGATACCTCGTGTTCCAATGTTGCCTGTTGATTCATAAAACATCGATATGGATATGTTTGACCATCTAGGTAGGGGGGGTTCTGGATCATTGGATCAACAGTCAAATTCACGCTTCCCTCAGTATCCTTTATCGTTCGCTGCGTTGTTGCGTTGTAGTAATTCAAAGCCCAAGTCGACCCTGGCTTCAAGTCGGCACCTAGGGTAACTGTTCAAAGTTCAAAAATAATGGTCAGAAAGCTTCATAGGTCCCTAGAAGCCAAAGAAAACCCCAGAAGCTGGCTCTGCAGTCAACAATCTGGCTGAAGGTAGAACCGGACGCAAAGTAAACCTGAGCCATCCTTAAGGACATGTGGAATCAGAGTGGAGTTGTCAAGATGGGTGATGGAAGTGGATAGAGCGACTGGTCTTTGATAGCCAGCGTTTTGACTCAAAGGCAGAGTTTGACCTGAAACATCTATGGTATCTCAAGCGAGTCCATCAGTCCTCTCTCTGCCCTCTACAAAAACATATTACTATATATTACTATTATTCATTTAAAGTAATTGAGTTTTCTTTTAAAGAAAAGTGCACTGCAAACGATCTGAGAATTCCTTCCGAGGCTTTCCTTGGTACTTCTAGGGGTGGCCTTCCATTTTTAGCCTTTTCAGAGTTTCACACCGTCGGTGATGGACCTTGCCCGTCGTCTCGGCTCCTTGGCGAGGCGAGCCGCCTCTTTGATGACCTTGCCCGTCATCTCGGTGAATTCCGCGCCGGACATCGTCGAAACGAATTGGTGAGCAGCGAAGATTGCTGTGCGATTCGGGTGAGCCAAAATTGCTGCAGAAGGTGAGAACCTCTAAGAAACTCTATCTTTGGGAGGGTTCCTAAATTCTATCGTTGTCCTTAGCCGCTGCGTCCAACCAGACACACTTGTGCGGGCTCTACCGAGTGTTTAGATTGGGTATATTCCGAATTACCAGGAACAGTGGATGATGATGGTTAGTAAAGGCCTTGTTCAAAAATGGTGATCATGTTTATCGACAGCCCAAGGTTTAGGTGTTTGACCCATCACTTGTCTTGGTCCCACTGCCCTCCACCCACTCAAACACCAACGCTGCCTGCGAGAGAGGCTTCCAGGGTGTTTGACCCATCCAATAGTCCAAGTGAAGCGCATCTTTCCACAATGTTCGATCATGTTCGCATGAAGCAACACGCGGACTACATGTGTCTGCGGAAATAAACACAGCAGACAGACTCAAAAAATCGTAAGACCCTCCCAACCTGTTCCCTGTGAGGAGGGAGGATCTGCTCAAGAGGCCCTGGACATCGAATCGTTGAAACGGCGTTCGCACCAGAAGGCCCCGCCTTTTGCGTTCTGCCCCAGGAAGCCCCGGAAGCCTCAGCAAGGCCGGGGCGGCACGGGAATCCTCGCGGAGTCTTGGCTCCGCTCAAGCCTTCGGGTTGTCCAAGGTGTTGAGAGCTAGGGCCAGCTAGGGTTGGACTCCAAAGGTACAGCTCTCATTGGACCGGACCCATTGGTTGCTGGAATCTGGGAACCTGTTGGGAAGCCTTCCCGACCAATCTCAGAGAGTGGATCTCATGGCTGGGCAGGGGACCCGGAGGCCTTACAAGGAAACGCAACAAAGTCGGCAAGCACGAAGGTGCCAAATCCAATTGACAGGCTTGTCAGAAGGTGTTCTATCTCCTGTTCAAGACTTGGCCAGGTCTTTTCATGTTTCACCCAAGTCTCGTTTCACCCGTCTCACCTTTCTTCCACTCCTTTTGCGTCTTCAAGCGACGAGAGACTTGCTCCGAAAGATGAAAAAAGACTCTAAGATGACCCACAAGAACAATTCAAAGATCAATCCCGAAACACGTCACCCTCTGTTTGGTGTAATTTCAGTGTATATTAAATATGTTTCTACCTTTGGAGATCTTTGGAGCCCACTGTGAATCCGTCAACTCAGTCAACATCCCTCATACTGTCCCTGATCCATACTTGCATTCGCTAACCTCACCATCTGACCAGCCACTGGTCAGTGACTCTGCTGACCACCGTCGTCCCTTCCCCCTCCAGCAGCCTTCGTGGCGCTGGATGAGCTCCAAGAACGAGCAGGGCACCGTCTGCTGAGCACCGCACGCAAAGCGGTGCGGCACCACATCCTCGGCCACCCCAGCGAGAAGATTAAGTCCAATCGTCGGGGAAGCTGTGAGTCGTCACAGGAAAGGACTCTGTCGGTGCAAATATGTAACTGGAAAAAATGATCACAAATCGCTCTTGGTGGGCACTTAAGGTCATTGTCAGAATGTCCATGTGGTTGAAGGATGGATGTTCTATTCCAAAGAGAAAATATTGGTGTTGAAACCTGTAATCCGAAAAGTATCAGAAGCAAACATAATTACTATACATAATTGTCCACGCCCACCTAAGCCCTCCAAAAAATGGCATTCTGATATGCAGAAAACATGTTTTGTTCGGACCCACCTGCGCCCAGGTCTTAAACCTTCAGCCCAGAAGCTGCGATCGTAGAGCTCTGCCTGGGATCGTCTGGGCAGTGTCTGCTGAGAATCGGCGTGCATTAAACAAGTTGTGCACTCCAATGTGCTCCGAATGTTTCGCATGGAAATGGTTGGCATGGCCGATGGCATGGCCCTTCATGCCAAAGACGATCGTTTCCCCAACCGAGTTGTGGCGCAAGTTGTCCATCTTGGTAAGTCCGTAGAGGTTTTTGATAGGGTGTCCGTGGCTTGCCATGCTTGTGCCAAAGCTTGGATCGAAGGTCAACCAATCGCTTGAAGGCTTGAGGCAGCGAATGTAGCTGGAATGTAGCTGGGGAGCAGAAAGGCAAAGGCAAACACTCACCTTCCTTCGTTGCCGAGCTGAGACCCAAAACTGTGATCCTTCTGGTCGCGTCGCTCACAATCCACCTCTATCGCACTCCCACATACCTCCACGACTCTGTTTCAAAGGGAGGGGGTCAACTTCTGATTCTGGGTGCTTCCAATGTGGAGTAAACCACGCGTCACTACAAACTACGTCAGTTCTTTGTCAGCTCTTTTCAGCCGCTCTCCCAGTACCCCGCCACCAGCACGGTCAAACTGCACCATGCTGCTCCAAGGACACCTCAACGCTGCCCTGTGTCAAGCCGTCGCTGCCCCCAGCAGCATTGAAGACCAATCCTTCCGACTGGAGTAAAGCCTCGCATCGAGTTTCTCAGAACTTGTTGATGGTTGGAACAAACATGGATTGGCGTAAAAGTGGTAGAGAGATGTAGAGAGACTCATGGCATGGTTGATGATTCTTCCGTAGTGGTGATGACGTGTTCAATTGATTTTTGATAAAGCACGTGGCTCATGCAGGTGGCATGTGCAGATGGGAATCGATTCCTCATTGGAAGAAACCACTCATCACCGCGAGGGTGCTGGGTTGGGAAAACTGAAGTAGTTTGCATTCGTGTGTCCCCCATCTTAGACATTTAATGAAGAAATGGTCCTTTGAACATGCACATCATCTGACATAAAGGCGTTGGTCCCTTTCCCACTTCCCAATCAATTTAATGCTTCCTCTCTGGTGACCCAAATGTTGTTCATTTCCTGCTAAGCTAGTGAGCTGGTTGGATGGCTAATCACCCGGAGCAAACGAGTTTGCGAAACATATGGAATAATGGTAAATAATGGTACTGTGTTCCCTATTCTACTATACTATGTAGTACTAACATTTGACGACCACTTTCGTTCTGGGTCCACAAAGAAATGACACTCACCGAACCAGTTCCCCTCTTTTCGCCCGAAACATGGAACTTCCGCCGGCCATGGAACGTTGAGATCTGCCAAGGTGTTGACGCCAGCGATACCCAGGGTGTTCAAAAGAATGGTCACGTGATTGATGCCTGAGTCTGGGCGACACACTACGTAGGCAAGTCCAAGCAAGTCCAAGCAAGGATCTATCAAAGGGAGTTGGTAAAGACTATACCCAATCCACAGCTCGAGTTGAAACATACATTCTTCATAGTTTACCATGTCGATGTGGTGATGGCCATTCCACAAAACATATGTATATATATAGAGAGAGAGATAGATAGATAGATAGATAGATAGATAGGTAGATAGATGGATAGATAGATAGATAGCTAGCTAGATAGCTAGCTAGCTAGCTAGCTAGCTAGGTGATAAATAGATAGATAGGTAGATAGATAGATAGATTATATATAGAGGAACAAGTGAGTCGCGACTAGTAACAAGGGCATTACTACTAGTAGTAATAAGGGCACTTAGCAGTAACAAGAAGCTTATATATCCGCCGACCCCGGCCCAGCTGACGCCTAGGCGGGGCGGCGCCTGGGACACCGCAGGGTGAAACGGTTCGCATTGGCCCTTTGGTCCAGCTTTTTATGGCTTCAGTTGCTCAGCAGGACATGCTTTAGGCCATCACCTACACAAGCCCTTTTTGGGCTTTCTACACAGCAACAGAACCGGTCTGTGGCCATCACCGTGGCTGCTGCTACGCGGTTCCGCACCTGTTTTTCTATAGGATTCCAAAAGCAACGTTAGAGACTGGTAGCTGCCGTCGGGCAAGGCTGTGGCGACACCAGCCCTTTTTGTGCTTTCTACAGGGCAGCAGGACGGGTCTCTGGCCATCACCTTGGCTGCTGCTACGTGGTTCCGCACCTGTTTTGCTATAGGATTCCAAAAGCGATGTTAGACACCTGGTAATTATAATAGTCGTCGTCTGGCACCCGTTTGCGCGCGGCGACACCAGCCCTTTTTAGGCTTTCTACAGGGCAGCCTTGGCTGCTGCTACGCGGTTCTGCACCTGTTGTTCTATAGGATTCCAAAGGCGACGTTAGACACTGGTAGCTGCCGTCTGGCACCCGCTTGCGCGCAGAATTAGATGGGGGAAGGCTGTGGCGAC